AGGCCACACGACTTGCTGCAGACAGATACCTGTGTCCTCCCCGCGACACCCCAGGGTACAAGCGGAAGAAAAAAGTAAAGTAAAGTAAGTTAGAAGAGTCGAAGAGCAATTCCCGATAAGTTTTGATTAAAAAGGTGTCAGAGCTTTGAAAAGAGCTACTATTGCCAATACAACTACTACAATTACAACAACAACTACTGTTACACTTCTACTTATATCCTCACTGAAATCGTAGCATAGAACCAGATAGACATACTACTATGGGAGATAAAAGCTGATGATGGCTTGTTGAACTCGACCCAGAGGTCAGAGGTTGTTTCTTTGCGGTCCCCCAGTGTGGAACGCAAGAGGACTGCACAGTACCCGAGTATGTAGCGCTAGGGGACTGTACAGTATCCTAACAACTTCCTTATTAGAACTTTATGTAAATATTACTTTGTTATAATATTAGAATTTAGATACCAAGAGGTAGTGATAAACCTAAAGAGAAAGAGAGAGAGAAAGAGAGAGAGAGAGAGAGAGAGAGACAGAGACAGAGACAGAGACAGAGAGACAGAGAGGATGAAATATCATAAGTAGATGTAGATCTACTTGTGACAATGTTTCTCAAACATTCCTTTCCTCCGCCGTCTTTTCTTCTACTGAAATTTGACCAACCTGTACCCAGCCCGTTATAAGAGCAAACTCTGAGTTGGAAACTCTTTTACGGTATTAAGAGAAGAAATATTCTTTAACTTATTGGCTTGGTGTCATTTCCAGGGCGACGAAGGAGGTCCGGTGCTGTGTGCCTGGGGCAACCACTGGGTGGTCCGAGGCATCCTACCCTTCAACCTGTGTGCCAGCGGCCGATTCAATCTCTACGTCACAGAGATAGCCCCCTACCTCTCCTGGATCAAACGGACCATGACATCCTATGGCTGAACGCGTCTTCAGACACAGAGAATGTACTGTCTGTCAACATTATGCATGACGTACAGCGCAATTTGGAAATCTTGAGACTCGTTGGTTGTTCCTTGTCCTTGAAGAATGTAATAAGAGTTGAAAACAGATGTTGCGAAACGTTTCATGAATTGAAATTATTTCCAAAATATATGTATAACACATTGACCTTGAACGTATGTGCTTTTTTTTATTGTTCTTTTTTTTTTTCCTTTCTGCTATAATGATGTATCATTGCTATAATACATGCCTCGAGGGGAATAGACTTTTATTGGAGCTGTGTAAAAATAAAGAAAATAAAACAAAAACTAAAACAGAACCCTGTCGTGAAATCCATAGACGTGTATTAGGATAAACTAGATCGTGCATTCTGACGTACTTCTGCTTTACTATATTAAGTGCACTTTAGCGCACCATGTCACTCATTTTGTAGGCAGATGAAGGGCAAGAAGGGAAAAGTGCCCTTTTCACTCGATTATAATGAGGCATGTATTTTTCTATTCATTTGGTCACTCATGGTTCTCACACTTTTCAATGAAGTATTTCCTAGAGTGACTGACATGACAGTGTACGTTCTAGGTAATTATAATTAAATTTTATGGTGTAAATATTTTCGTAAACACAATTTGATGACGCCAAATACAATACATTACGACCTACGTTCTCTTGGGGTTTTTTTAAAATAAAGGGCGCACTTGTCCAACGATGCCACCAAGGTTTAGATAAGCATAATTGTTTTCTCTTCTCAGATAACAAACTTTGTTTTTATTCTTTAAATTCTAGAAATGTCACTCGAATCCCGACGGGTTGGGCCTGCCTTTTAAATTCTCTAAAACAATAATTGTGTTGATGGAGACGTAAAAACAAGACATTAAAAAGGAACTAAAAAGGCACTTCCTCAGCTACAAAATGAGCCCACAGCTCAAGAGATAAAAAATTTGTTTTGGTTTACATTATAAAGGTTCAGATGTGAGTGAGTTAGTTTAGTTTTAGTAGAGGTTTTACGGCGCTCGCAACTGCTTAAGGTCATATGAGCGCCAGAAGATTAGAGGTGTTACAAGAGAGTAACGAACATAAAAAAGAAGAAGGGGAGA